AGACAAGGCGATGGTTGCCGCAAGGCGCAGCGGAGACGGGCGGCTGACTCGCCCTGCAGTCGGGGCGCGGGGCCTGGAGACCAACCGCGCTTTCCCCCCACCCCGAGCGCCCCCTCTCGCTCGCCAGTGCCTTTCAGGCCCATTTTAGCCGCCCGGGGGACTGAACCGACGGCTTCTTTCTGGTGGACTTGGGCAGCCAAAAAGAAGCAGAACTGCCGCTGGGGATAGGGAGGGAGACCCGGTGGCCCCTCGCGCGAAAGGGCTTGCCCTGAGCCAAGGCTCCCTCTAAGCTGTGGAGCCTTGTGAGCAAGAGTTCTACTTGGTGAGCTCCTGGCATTCAAGTTGTGAGCGAGCGATTTGGCTACTGCTTAAATTAGTGTGCTCTGTAGCCATCCTCCCTGAGCTGAGACAATAATGTATGAGCCGGAGGCTAAAAAACTGTGAGCTAGCTCACACTCACTCAGCTTAGAGGCAGCACTAGCGACTGTTGGACCCTGGACGTTAGGGTTGTTTAAAAGAAAATACATAGATCTACCGATCCCAAAATCACTTGAGCCGCAGCGTAAATCAGCTGAACGCCCAAATTAGTTCGATCTAAGTTGGAATAGGCTTGTACCCCCAGCCGGGCACCCGCTGGACGGCTTCCCAAGGGGCCCAGCCGCCGCCTCTTTCCCCGGCTGAGGGTGCCTCTGCCGCCTTGGACCTGTAGATCTCGCTGTGGCTCAACAAAAGGAGCCGCCGAGCTCGGCTGGGAGGCCGGCCTCCCCCTCTGGAGCCGGTGCCGGAGCGGCCGCCCGCCGCCCTCCTCCCTGGCCCTGAGAATCCATCAGGCGACCTGACCGCGGGGAGCGGCGGGAGGGGAGGGGAGGGCTCGAAGGGCTGGCCTGGGCACCTGCCTCTTCGGCGGCAGGAGGACGACGCGGATCCTACCGGCAGAGGCGGCCACAGACAGACCGGCGCTTTTGTTCAAACGGTTGGCCAGGGAAAGCAGAGAAGGAGGGGACCGCAGGCCCGCCCCCACCAGGGCGACTGGCAACACATTTGGATTGAAGTATGCAGGACAAAGTGAGACAGTGTTTAAAGGAAGGAAACCGACCCAGCGGCTTGGGAGAGGGCCTCAGGCCTGGGAAGTATTCAAAGAAACCCCAAAGGGAGGAGCGGAGTTGTGTGCCTGGGCACAGGTGATAGGATCCCCGCAAGTCGGTGCCGTTCAGATGTGCCACCATGTTCTTGGCGTCACTGCCAATGACAGGAGGCGCCAGCTATGGGTTTTCCCATGCTCTTTGCGCTCAGGAGGCCCTGTGGCTCAATCCCGAGGGTTGTGTGGATTGGCTAAAGGCACTTCGCACCTGCTCGCAGACACTTTTCTCACCATCAGATCCGGGACAACTGATCCAAACGAGACCCCCGAGAGGTGCAGTTCTGGCTCAAAGGAAAGCTCCCCAAGGTGGGTGGGTTGTCAGGGACAGGAACCAAAGAAAGGCCGCCGCTGGATCTCCCAGCCAATCCTGGGCGCTTTAATCGTCTCCATTGCAATAGAGCTGTCAGTCTCCCCCCCCCCCCAAGCTTGTTCACTTGGAAGCAAATTCGGCAGCCCTCAGCGGAACGGGGGTGTGCAGGTGGCCTGCGCAGGACCGCAGCCCCAGTCGCCTCCGGTCTAAGCCCTTACACATTTCCCTCTCGCGGTTTCCCGTTCTGACCTGCTCGGATTTCAGCCTCCGAGTTTTGAGCAGATTTAACTTTCTCTCATTAGTACCATAAAGGCAGGTGTGTGTGTGTGTGTGTGTGTATAATGTTAGTTGAACCGACGGTAAATTCCACATAAGGGGAGAGGGAAGATAGGAGGATTTTTCTTCCGGAAAGGAACCAGTGTACTAAAACGTGGGACCATGACATGTTGTCAGGTGGAAGGCAAAGTTGGAAAATAAAACTTTTAGGAAATCCCCAAAGAAGCTTGGCCGGGGATCTCTCTGGGCACCGCAGCATCTTGAAATGGCCCTTCAGGCTGCGATCCCACGCCGACTTGCCTGAAAAGTAAGTCTCCCTGACTTCCGCGGGGCCGACGACGCCTGAGTAAGTCTAAGAGGCTCGAGTGGCAGAGGCCTTGCACACCAAAGTAAAGAGAGTCCCCAGGCGCCTCTTCCTGACTCCCGAGTAGACACGCACAGGATCTTGCCGCAGCTTTGTAATCCGAGGGGAGTCCCCCCCCCCTCTCTGGACTTGCAGGGCACCCGAGCAGCCGCGGTCCCCTAGGGAGGCAAGTTTCTGTATTATTATTTTTTTAAAAAAATATTGTCCAGAGAAAGCGCAACACCGGAGTGGAGGAGAAAAAGGCGGAAGGCCGTCCGTTTTCCCCCTCCAAATAGCTGCAGAACTGAAGAACGACGCCTCAAAGAACTGCATGTATGTTGGGGGGGGGGAGTACGCCTCACACGCAAGATCTTAAGAACCTGGACTTTTTTTAAAAAAATCCCCGGAATAAATAACACCCCTCCGCCCCCTCCCTGCCCACGCCGCGCAAGTAGCCCCCCCTCCCACGCGCTTTGTAAAAAGCAGAGCAGAGGAAGCCAAGTGTGTATGTGCGTGTTGGGGGGGGGGGGGACGCGCCCGCCTCGCTACCTGTGTCCCCCTTCCCCGGCAGGTTGTTCCGCTGCTGGGCAATTGGCCACTGTTGCTATGCTAATGAGCCGATTAGGCGGCTGGCGAGCGGGCTGCCTTGCGAGAGGAGAAAGTTCCGGCCATTAGAGGGAGATCTCCGAGCGGGCACGGGAGCTCGCCTCCTCCTCCTCCTCCTCTTCCTCCTCCTCCGCCGCCTCCTCCTGCTCCGGCACTCCAGCAGAAGGCGCGCCGTGCATGCCAGAGGAGAGCGCAAGGCAGGCGGGCGGGCGGGCAGGGCGCAGCCTCCTCTTCTCCGTCTCCCCTTCTGCTCTCTCGCCGCGCCAATCCATGAAAATGCTCTGGAAACTGACGGATAATATCAAGTATGAGGACTGCGAGGTAAGCGCTTCCCCCGCGACTGGGACGCACGCTCGAGACAGAGTCTCCCCCCCCTCCCACCTCCCCAAAGTCCCGTGGCCCTTGGGAAGCATCTGGAGGACAAAACTGCCTCGAAGTGGCCACGGTTCCAGCCAGGAAGGTGGGCGTGTTAGGGGTGCAAGGGTGCCAGGAGCCGGCTACACGTTTGGGGGGGGGACAGAGGAGGGGTCCTTGCAAAAACGACCACAATATTTTTTTGGGGGGGAGAAATAAAACGCACACGGATCTTTCTGTCCAGACATCTGCGCCCAAAGGGGGGGGGGGATGAATGGGCTGAGCGACTGAACGAATGAATGAATGAATGAACGACCGAACGAACTCCCACCAGAAGAGGCACCCAGACATAGAGGAAAGGATTTCTGACCGACAGAAGCAGCAGCGAGAGCGCCAAGATCTCCTCCAGAGTTCGCCCCGACGCCGGCCCGAAGCAGACGCCTGTGGATCCACAGGTCTCGCGCGTCAGCAGCGTGAGGAGTGGGACAGTTGCTGGGACTCCGGCGTCAAAGCGCCGCTCGCCTGGCGCTCCTGCTCAGCCTCTCGACGAGGGTTGGACGACAGCGCGGCTTTAAGCACGCCTTTTCGCAGCTGCCCGCCGCCTCTGAGGCGTCGCGATTGGGAGAGACTCGGGGTGGCCGCCTGGGCAGGAGAAAGCCAGACAGAGCCCGGGCAGCAGCTGCTGCTGCGCCCAAAGACTCGGAAGGAGAGCACTGCCGGTCCCGCCGCTTTACCTGGGATGCAGGGCCGGTCAGGTCTGCATCTAGTCTTACAACAGTTTCACATAATACACGAAATAATCCACTTTCAGTGCAGTTTAAATGCGCTTTCCAACTGGATTTCACTGTGTGAACTGGCCAAATCCAGTGGGAAAGTGCACTGAAAGTGGATTATTTAGCGTGTGTGACCGCAGCCCTTGTTGTAAGACCCCGGCTGAAAGCGAAGCACTTCAGAGGCTCATAAAGAGAATGATAGATAAGGCAGAAAAGGTTCGATGGACCAACACGGGTATTCGTGAATGGGATGGGTGGGTAGATGAATCTATAGTGTGGGCGGCTAGAGTGCAAGCTTATATCTGCACTTGTTAAATAAACTCATCTCCGTCTTATTTTGCTCGGCGCAAAAGTGGTAACAGCCAATACTTTCAGAACATTTCTAGTCGGCATTTACTCCCCCCCCCCTTTCCTGGTGGATTGAAAGAACCATGTGGCCTTGAATTCGAGCTTGTGGGTCACAACTTCTTGTGTGTTGTTGTTATTTTTTCCTTTCTCTCCACCCCGCCGAGTGACTGGGCGCGCGTGTGCACATGTATGCATTTCCTCCCTGGATGCCGAGAACAGGGTAGCATCCGGCAAGCGCCGATCTGGGAGATTAATTAAGAAAACATGATGTGCCCGGGTGTCAGGATTTATGGCTCCTTTGGATGCGGCAAGTCCCTTTCAGCAGCGTCAGAAGGAGAGAGCCGATGGCGCGCGGGCCTTCGGGCTTTAAGAACAGCGGCAGACGTGTCCTTGTGTTATTATTCTTTTCCCTGCGACAAACCCTGAGATAGCTGTTGTGAGCTGAAAGCCCTTCATTCATTTTCGATGTAGAACCGGGGCGCTCCTCCTCCGAGGGCAGATTTCTGGGCGAACGTCTTTTCCTCCCTTTCTTGCCCTCGCGGCTTCACGCCGAGGCGCCAAACAAATCGACCGCGTCGAGGCTTCCGAAGCCCGTGAGGGCGACAACAGGACTGGACGTGTTGGGGGCGGGCGGCAGGAGAGGGTCGCGCGGCGGTAGGCATGCCTGAAACTGACCAGGGCGTCTGGAAACTGACCAGGGCTGGGGATCGGAACGCTCCCTCTGAACTACACGTGTTTCCCCAACACATTTGCCGAGGGTGTCCGCGCTCAGCGTAGCTTGACCTCAAAGAGCTCTTTTGTTCTTGTTGTTTTAAATGTTGGTCATGGGGTGGCGGCTGAGGCTCGGTTGCTTGACCATTTCGACTCCCTTCGAGCACAAGGGCTGAAGCGTTCCGTGTTCATAAATCCCCTTCTTTTCTGGCTCGGAGCTACGGATCTCCCCCCCCCCCTGTGAGTTTTCGGAGATACGAGATGGGGGGGGGGTCTCCGGAGGCATTAAAAACACCGGATCTCGCCGCGCGCGGTTCCTCCTTTCTTTCTTTCTTTCCTTTCCTTTCAGTCTGGTTAAGGTGTGCTCGGGGAGGTTTGCCGGGACATGCTCGGTCGGCGGCAGAGGGCCTGTTGTTATGATAAGCCGGCAGGGAAAAGTGGAGCACGGCTGCCTGTCATCTCACGGGATTTGCTGGCTGCGACTTGCTCAGCCGGTCGGACGGGTTGGGCCGAGCGAGGCTGGGAGTCCCGGCTTGTCAGGGCCGAGCAAGGCTCCAGTCGCCTCCCTTTTTCTCCCTCGCTCCCTCCCCCCCCCCAGTCCTGCGCCTCCCCATTCCCCGATCCTCAGCCCCGAAGGCTCCGCGGGGCTCCCGGGACGCGGACGGCAGCTCCACCGGCCCTCACCCCCGCCCAGACCCCCCTCCCCGCCACGGGGACTGAGCGCCGGGGGAAGACGGGGATCCCACGCGCCGAGCAGGCCAGGGCCGATCCCCTCCAGGCCAGGGCGCTGGCGAGGCCCTGTAGCCGCCGCCGCCGCCGGGCCCGTCGAGTCATGGACGTGACGCAGCAAGACGCTGCCGGAGCCGAGCAGCCGGGCCCAGCCGAGCACGGGCCGCTGAAAGGCAGAGGCGCCGAGCCGGGGTCGGAGAGCGGCTCCCCCGGGGACAAGCGGAGAGCCGGAACCCCGCAGCTGCTCGCCTTGTCCTTCGAGGCGCCCGGCTTCGCCCAGCAGCAGCCGCCGGCGGAGCAGCCTGAGGTGCGCCCGGAGAGTCGCTTGCTTTGACCCCCCCCACCCCCGGCGGCGGCGGCGGCGGGA